CATTTTTGGCCGAGAAAATGGGACGTGGACCTTTCACAAATTTTTGGAAAGGCAATAAGCTTATGGCGTTTAAAAAAATAAAATAATTCAAGGAGTGAGATTTTTTTTTTTTTTTTTTTAACTATTGAGTAAGGCTGTCCGCCACATTTTTGCTCCTCAATAATTTTGAGTTTACCGGGCCGCGCCGCTGGTTAGTCGACCGGTAATAATAATTATTGCGAAAATATTAAATTGCCAAGCACACACGCATATAATTTTTATAACAATATGAGGTCAACAAGAAGTAATTGACGTAGATGATATTCGCACATTTTCACAACTCATAAAACAGGTAGGCACTATAGGTTTGTTAAACGACGGCGTGCACGTATTTATTAGCACTCTACGATGTATAACTAACTATTATGGCCGTTATTATTATTTTTTTACTTTTTCACACGTTTTTATAATAATTATTTTCAAATACCATTTTCTAGATGAATATCAGTTCTATGAAAATGCGTATTAAAATAATAACAATTATAAAAATTAGATAAAAAAAAATCGATTATATTTATTCGAACAAATATTCTTATGCTCTTTCCGAGACAGTTGTTATTACTTGTGATGTCCTTGAAAAATATAGAACACTATGATATTATCTAAAAATATTGAGATACGCGACTCCAACCCATCTGTGGCACGGATTGATTTTGTTCGATTCTCATAAAACTTTGTATACTTTAATTTTAAATGGAGTTTATTACTGCGAACTTTCACTAAAAAATTTAGAAAATACAATCCAAGAAAAGATAAAATCGTTAAAAAATCGTCCCTATATAAGACTGAAACCATTCTACTCAACATCTACTCTACGACATTCAAAAATATTATTACTGCGAATCGCCAGACAGGGAAATATAATAATTATAATGATGACGATTTTTTAAACAAAATACCGTCAGTCCGTTTCGTATCGTATTAAGTGTTCATATTTGAGAAGAAACTATTATTGTTATAGTTTTATCCAGATTCAGGCGGGTAGCTAGAAATTTCCAAATGAAAAGTAACAAAACCTATTAAATTGTTAAAAAAAAACGGACATACTTCGCACGGTGAGTAACCGGGTGGGGCACTGTTATAGATGAAAGTTAGGAAGGTAGGATATAGAGGTGAATTTATCATTTGTACTCAACGATTAATCATTGTTAACGAAAAACGAGCAGAGTTCGGTTGTACATGTTTTGAAAAGCTATAATATTTATGATTTTCGTCAAAATTTGATATTAAAATTCTTATAAAAAAACGAACTTTGTTAAGTAATTTATATAGTGATGCAGTTACGTTTACGTATGGGAGTACCTATAACCATATTGTAAAATAATTGTCTTGGACAATTGTATTACATATAAGTAGTAAATAAACTCCTCACAGTCAATGGTGGGGGTTCAACATCCCCCCTCGCTACGCCACTGTTCAGATTGCTTTATTTTTCTCGCAGCAAACGCTTTTTCGATTAGTAAAAATGCTCGAAATCGTCCTCACATCATCGCGGTAAACATTAGACACGGATTTTTCGACCGTTGATATTTTATTCGACTAATTTTACTAATTTAAAAACCTAACAGATTTGTTTTATTTTTGTTGATTTCTGAATTTAACCTATGACTAATAGGGGAAAAACACAACTAATTATACTATATAATATAAACTTAGACACCAGTGTACAGTGTTTTGTTCAGAATAGTTTTTGATCGCAATTATTTGCTACCGTCGATTTCCATACAAAAACTAAATTAATTAATATATATTACACCTTCGCGACTTCTGACCTATATATTAATGAAGCCCACAGTATGATCATTTATTTATTTTTTTTTTTAACACGCATTATATTTTGAAGATCTATTCGATTTTATACGTTAAAACCGTATTAAACGTTGCCCAGTCGTCATAAATAAGAATTAGAATGGTTTGCCAAACTATTAAAATTAAAGAGACGAATTGCATTTTCATATTATGAATCCAAATGAAAAAATAAGATGAAATGACGCTCGTTGCCAAAAAAAAAAAAAACTAAATCTAAATACAAATTCGACCCTATACTACGACTTCGTCGTATAATACTTCGTTTTAGCGTCGCGGTCGACTAAATAAGGTTAGTAGTGATTCCAAAGGCGTACGCACGAGAGGGGTGGTAAGGGCAAGGTAAGCAGCTGCATCCCCCGCGGCCTGAATTAACAAAAGAATATTTAGATAATTTATGCTATACAGAATAAATTGCAAACATTGTGCAATTAAATCAAGTTCATTAAAAAATCAATAATTTATATACCATATTAATTAAATGAAGATTAATAGTGTTAATGGATATTACCTTTATACGCTTGCGTATTATAATTAGAGACCGAACTTTTATGCACTTAAAATCCGCAAAGAAAAGCTTAAAACATTAAAAAAACAAAAAACCAAAAAAATTATCCGATAAGCATGCACGACAAATATTCAAAAATATTTGAAAAATTTAAAACTCCTCTTCCAAATGACTTTTAAAATACAATTTTCTAACACTGAAAAATGATTAAAAACGCATAATAATTTGTTTTAAAATAACGTACGTTTTAAGTATAAAACAAGTAATTTGTGTTGATCATTTTTGTAGCGTTAGAAAATTGTATTTTATAAATTAGAGCCGTTAGAGGGGGGATACGTTTAAACCCTTCTGCCATTTTTGCTTAGTTTAGTGGTTTTTTGTGGATTTTACGTGCATATAAATTCGGTCCTTAATTATTATCAATTTAGTAATATAATCGTCGGTAAAAAATTAAATATATTCAATATATATGCAAAAGTGTTTCAATTAATACGTATATATCTTTTGTTAAAACAATTCTGTTCTTCTCTTAAACTCCTTACTCCCTCTTCCAAGTAGATGTGTATTCACTAAGAGTGGGCCGATATATAAACCGATATCCTTGGAATAAAGCGTCTATAATGTCTCTGAAATATGAAAAAATATTTTAAAAAAATCCGGTTTTCCGCCAATTTATCGATTATTGGTTAATTGAACATTAACTCATGATTTTATTGGTTTAATCGATTTTCATTCGTAGTATCGGTTTTATATCGGAAATCGAACATCGGTAAAAAGCGGTACCGGCCCATCCCTAGTATTTACTGGGCTTATCCGAGTCCCTCCAACGTGCCAGTAAATAATTTAAATAAGCAGTCGGTGTTTATCCATCGACTAGGAGGACTGCAGGTTCCATAGGTTTTAGGTTTACACTTCTCAGATAGCAATATATTTAGAACATATTGATATTGTCACAATATGTGTTTTTACATCTTTCTAACAATATCAGTTACAACATATTGTGAGAACGTGTTGAAAATATGTTATAAGTATTCATTACATACATATTGTAAATTAAATATTATAGATACATGTTTTATTCATATTCTAAATGATATTTAAAACAACATAATTCAAACATATTGTAAAAACATTTTTTTCAACGTGTCTTTTTACCAGAAATCTTACTTAAATCAAAAAATGTATAGAAACTTTCTTTTGGAAATTACTATTCATGTTTTACCATCAAGTTATAATTTTTAACAAATTTCAGGATAGTCTATTATTTATATTTATATATATATTTGTATAGGTATTTGTAATACTGGTTATGAATTTAAATTTTAATAAAAATTGTCAGTTATAAGTATAGCGATAAATTGTATAGTAAACAAAAGTATAGTGATAAATTCAATAAACCGGGTTTCCAAAATTATTTGAAAACTTCCAAAATTAATTGTTAATTTTTTCATTTTCGTATTATATATTTTTTTTAATAATATTTGTTTAAAATTGTACCGATTTTACCGTTTTTCTACGTTTTTCCTGATTTTTCCATGTTTTTCCAGTTTTTTTAAATTTGCTAGGAAAACTCCTGGAAAAATCGAATAATGACCGGCCTAAAGAACCTTTCCAATCAGATTTCCTTTCAGAATAGGTGCTACATTTAAAAATCGGAGCAAGAATTCTGGTTGAAATGTTGTCAATAGATAAAAAAAATAAAACAAACATCTTTGTAAAACCATAAGCTTCTTCGCTCCACTCAGAATCTAAAACTGTTTTTAACATATTATGTGTAATATAATATTGAAATTCGTCTATTAAAATAATTACTCACGGTGGAGATTTAATCGTACGGGACGATGTTGCATAATAATATTATAATCGGTGGGAGTGGGGGGAAAACGCCATGTCGTCATTGAAAACAATTTAAAAAAAAAAAAAAAAAAAAAAATGTTCGCGTAAAGATCACAATAAATCAATTATAATCTCTCCCGAAGCGACGAAAATCCATTGCGATTTACGTGCGAATACCGACAACAGCAACGACAATAATGATTATAATATTGTAAATTATAAAATTATACTATCGCCACTGATTGGCGACTTATCGTTTTTCGTATACGATTCCCTTTGTGTACGGGACCGGTGGAAATAACATAATATTCTACGCGCTATCTACGCGGAATTCAAATACAATACGAATGCGGTTTTTTACGCGCGGCGTACCTGCACAGCGAGGCGTTTTTCGCGGGAAACAAAAAATATATATTATTATTATTATTATTATTATTATTATTAGGTGTATAGCGGTACTGTTTTTTTTTTTTACTAATTTTTTTTTTTCTAATAGGTATTCCTTTCCCGGAGATAACAATATAATTACATCACATTTTTTTTTTTTTTAAATATTATTATACAATTTTTGTCGCAAAGCGCCAAGCGATAATAATTGTGATTTTATACACACATACATATATATATATATATATATATATATAGACACGAACCGTAATTGGAATTACAATATTATGTAACGCGTGACGGAAACAATATGGCGAAACGCCGCGAAAACGCGTAAACCGACGACGACGACGGCGAAATTTCAAATAAAGGTCCTTTCACACGTATCCGATCCGGATCCGTTCCGAGTCCGGTCCGACCGGCCGTCCGTGTTTTCTGGATTATAAACTTCTTGTTTTTCACACTGTAATGTATTCACGCTCGTCCGATCCGAGTCTTCTCCGGGCCGTCCGAGCTCTCTCCGACCGAAAAAAAATATTGCCAGTGACCGATTTTCGTCCGAGCTCGGTCGGTTTTTGACGGACCGATGTCGGATCGGACACAAACACGAACACGTTCCGACTGGTTTCGGGACACACGGAAGTATTCGTAAAACTTTGGTACGTCATCAATAAGTCCGATGCACGTATTGTGAATTCGCCTTCGGTTTTCCTTTTTTTCCAAACATCATGGACCCGCGCGCAGTTCTTTTTTTTTATATTGTTTTACAATTATTTTCTTGTTCTTCGTCGAGCAAAAGTGCCATTGCAATTAATTATTCAGCGCTTAATCCAATCATGACGAAAATTCGAATGAAAAAATTACTAGATCGACGTCTGTTTCATACGACAACGCTCGGAACGCTAAAAATCGGAACAGACTCGGATCGGATGCGTGTGAAAGGACCTTAATAATCGATAATATTATTTATAGTTGGGGGGGGTCTACGCGAACGGCATTCGGGTAAATTATGCGCCGTCCGCAGTTTTTTAAAAATAGTTTCGGTCGGCGAAACGCAATATTATTATGCAGTCTGAACGACCACGACGACGGCGTGGCGGTTCATCCGGAAAAACGAGATACCGGCGCCACAGTTAAATAAAACGGCTCAAGAACCCGTACGGTTTTTTTTTCCCGATATTTTTCCCGGCAATCCGAAATCGGGAGCGGACACGTTTTTTCTATGGTTTTTCGCGTTTAAAAATCCGTTTTACGTAATCGGTTTCCGTTCGCTATACCAACGAGTATATACGCGACGCGACGAAATACGTTTGTCGCGATCAATTTCCCGAGTGATTATACACTTACGGGTATAAAAACGAAAAAAAATAAAAATAAACATGTATCTCCGAAAACTAGGACATTTCTACCGTTTGGAACGAAGGAGTGAGGGAGGGGGGGGAGGGAGGGGGTGAGAAAGACGAGCTCTATTTATGCCCGCGTCCGTACGTACCGTGAGACACCCCGTGAATTAGAATCGATGAACCGTATCGCTGTGCGCGCAGTAACAAAGTGAAATATCGCAATAATAACTACCGCCGCCGTGGTGTACGCTGGCCGTCCCGCGGGCTTGACGCAGTTTCTGTCACGGTAACATTTGCGCGTGGGTCGCCTACGCTTACAACCTTTCGCGGACGTCACAGCGAACGAACGAACGAAAGAAAAAAAAAACACGAATTGGCCAGTCACGCGAAAACAATATTTTACACCGAACACTTGTCAGAACATCATACATCATGCAGATCTTTAAGTGACACATAACGGGTTAAAAGTTATTTAGGAAAAAAAAAATATAATAATAATTACAAGAAGATGAAGAAGACAGACAAAAAGGAAACCGGAAATCCAAACGGTTTGTTTGACACGTGTGGATTCAAAAAGGTCCGCTGTCTATCCAAGTAAAGTACCGTAGAAAAAAAAAATACCCAATTACCGTTGTGGTACATGCGGGGACGGTTATCTGCAGATCACCGTAATACAGAGTGATCAATTTATAAAACACTATCCCGGAAAGTATTCCCGAACGCTTGGCGGAAATTAAAAATGCCAACACCAAAGCTTTCATTAATTAGGTGACGACAACATTTGTGTATTTAGAGCCGTTCGTTTCTAAAGTTTTCATAAAAAAAAATGTATAATATCTTCAGAGACAACGAATTCTAGTGATACGCCCGTGATGCGAGCATCTTACTTAAATTTTTCGGAACAAAAAAAAAAAAAAAAAAGCGTGTCCCACGGAAAATAATAATTTGGATCGTTCTGCATATTAAAAATAAATCACGCGGTCTTACGGAAACAGTTTAATATCAAAGGAAACGAAACTTACTCGTTCGCTATAATATTGTAGCTACAAACTCTGCTGCGGCATCCACGACGACGGCGAACAACGCGTTTTCGTTATGAACTGTTTACAATTTTTTTTTCCCTGTTAACATTCACATCTCCCACAGAGAGCACTTAAAGACGAGCGGACTCTCGCAATACGTTAGGTACAGACTATTATAGCAATCGTAGTAGTAATATAGTTATTAGTAGTAGTAGTAGAACTTAAATCGACCAAATTGCTAGGTTATCATTTTCAAGGGCAAACCGTTTCCGAGACGCGTTTAATCATTTTTATTTTCATCTTATCACGCGCTAGATAGGTACCTCCAATAATAATAATAATAACAGTATAAACGTATAATAACTATTATGTACACTATATCGCAACCACCGCGGCGATTTGATTTGTTATCGCCACCGCAGCCGTCTGAAGGATAAACGAATTAAATCGAATTAAAAATTATAAATTGGCCGATTGAAACGGACGTCTAACTGAACTACAAACGCCTGGCGTACTGCTCGCGAAACTCGACAAAAAAATTAAAATATTATACGAACGAAATAATAATAATAATAATAATAATAATAATAATAATAATAATAATAAATTCTTGTCGCCGTTTTGTTGGCGACCGTAACATTATTTTTTACGTCCGGCGACAGACTGACGGCGGAGACGAGCGAGACGAAACGAAAAGATATTAAAACCGCGCGTTTCATGACGATGGTCGATCGTTGATTATAACAAAATATTATATTTTCTCTGGTCGGCCGAAAATTCGGCGTGTCGGCTGTGGACATTTACTAATAATCGCCACGGATTCGGTATGGTAATTTAATATTTATCGTTTATCAGTAATAATCGGGGGGGGGGATGAGGAGGAAGACAACGCAAATGAACGGAATAATACCCCGATTAATTTTTCGGAAATTCTAGTGTACATCTGCCGACATATTCTACTATTCGTTTGAAAATATGGAACACATGATGATACGGTATACATTTTTATTGAAACGAATTTTCGATCAAATTTGAACTTGTAGCGTTCGAACGCTGGTAATAACACTAATAATATCACGATAACGACAGTTAAGAAAAAAAAAAAAATACCATTTTCTATAATCAGTGGCGTGTCCATTTGGGAGGGGAAGAGGTGTTCAACCCCTCCTCTCCCAACGACCCAAGTTATAAAAAAAAAAAAATGAATTATTAAAATTTAAAATCATTGTAAATAGACTACGTAAATATAATTAAATTTCTAAGATACATCAACAATTTGTTAGTTGATGAGATACCCACATGCATTGTTTCGCGTTATAGTTTATCGAAATAGTAAGTTATTTAGAACACGAATTGTGGCGTTAAGATATAATTTGGAGTTTAATCACAAATAATAAAATTTAAAAAAAATGCAAAAACTAACGAAAAAACTGCGTACAGCCCTCGAAAATATTCTTCTCGATAAATTTTGCTCTTTGTGTATAAACTCCAAGTTTAACCTGAACTGATAATAATATTATTAATTATGTAACTTTTCATTCTTTAAACTTATATTAAAAAGCGTTTCGCCATCTTAAGATATTATTTGAAATTCTTCAAATTCGCACAAATGTAAGAAAACGTCATAAAAATATGTAATACAAAATATTATGAGTCGTCACGATTATTAAATCGGAGTTGAGTTTTTAGTGACGCCCAAATATAATGTATATTTTTTGAAATCGACGTATTCATTACGATAGTTTAAATTTTACGTCGAGCATTGTCGTCAGCCCGCCACGCTATTCGCTTCGAATAGTATATTGTTCTACATACGGTTTCCAACATTTTACAAACGTCAATATTAACCGATACTTGAGTGGGTACCTATAACTCCGCAGCAACGGTGACGATATTAAAACTGACAAAATATCCATATTATATAATATTGTATTCATTTCCGCACGGGAACGCGAAAAATACTAGTGTTTTAATTTTTTATTCGGGACATTGGTATCTATTGCGTTCGATTCGCATACTGTCGATGTATGATTGATTGCGTTGACAAACAAACGACATGACGATACAATTTATGTGACCGTAAATTGTTATAATATTCAAAAACCGTGTGTTTCGCGTTTCGAGCAGTAAATTTAATTTAAATTTTAATCGCAAAACCACTTAACTTTTTAACTTTTTACCGAAACTTATCGCCTCCCCTAACGCTCTCCTTAAATCTAACACCCTCGTTAAGAACCACTTGGTCTATTATTGGTCACATTCGTCCGTAAAAACGGCCGTAATCCTTCCACTTAAATCGGTATCAAGCTGTAGATTAGCAGATAATATTGATTATTACAATTTTTTTTTTATTAATTTTACATAATTGAAGACAATTCAAAAATCGTTTCCAACCTCCTAAAGAGGTGTGCACACGAAAAAATATAATTTACAAGAATAACTCTCTGGTCTCGCAGATTGATTCAATTTTGATAACTTTTTATCTGTTGGAAACATTTTAGGGAGCGCATTGGATTTTGATTTTTGATATACTTACAATAAACGAGCAAAAAAAAATAATTATAACAAAAATGATGTGAAATTTTGACGTTCAAACTCAATCTATGGCGAATTCCTTGTGTTCCGGCAATTAGTTTTCCTCTTTTCCTCCAACTAAAGAAAAAATTTTAAGCCCAACTAACAAAATAACCTTGATCATAGACACAATCAAATTTAACGTAATCAAATTAAATAAATTGAAGAGTAGTAAAAACAGTTTTACACATATTTTGAGAGTATGGCAAAAAATAAATCTATATAATCTGAAGAAAATTTAATTCAAAGTTATAACTTTTATAATGGATATGTATAATATTAACCTAATTTAATACGATGCAGATTTTTGTATGATGGAAAATCGAACTCTTTATCGTTTATTTTGAGTATCATCTATAAAACAAATTCGGACTCAAACATAACATTAAAAAGAACTGATACAAGTAACGGGTGCAGTCACTGTTGTAGATGAGAAGTTGAGAAGGTGGGATACATAAAGTTATTTCATTTATATCTGTACGCAACGATAAACCATTTCTAACGAAAAAATAATTCTGAGCGAAGTTCAGTTGAAAGTGTAGCTTTGTCAACAATATGTCATATAATTATGCTAAAATAATAACATAGATATTATACATTTTCTTTAATATTTTTTTAATATTGTATCTAGTTTCTAGTTTTTTCTATAGTTTTCTTCGGTTTTACCTATTAATTGGGAAAAATCCTGAGAAAATCAAAAAATGATCTTCTGAGAGTACCTATACAGTCTGATTTCCTTTTAGAAAAGATGCCACACTTAGAAATCGGAGCAAAATTTCTAGTAGAAAAGTTATCCACAGGAAAAAAAACATCTTTGTAAAATCATAAGTTTCTTTCCTCCACTCAGAATCTAAAAATATTACATTACACTTGATTTTATTTTTGTTTTTGACCACAAAGTACAACTTATAATGTACCTTATGTACCTTGTGTCAAATTTTCAAACAGTTCTATTGAG